CACACACACACACACACACACACACACACACACACACACACGCGTACCGCCGATAATTCTGCTAGCAGAGATATTTGTGTTTCTTTATTTTCACCGGTTCAGTGGATCAACAAGGAGTTGTGTGCACGTATTCGGGCGAGGCAGTAAAGTTGTTGCACACCCGGGGCTGTCGTTTCCATTTTTTGATACTTTCAAAATAAATCCACAACGGTAAAAACGTATGTGGGATCACTTCGAGGGTGATGGTGGTCGTGGTGGGATGAAGATTGCGTCCCGTATGGAAAAACACTAGTGGTTAGGATATAACTTAATGCTACATGCAGGTGCTGTTAGCAATGTGGGACTACTAGGTGCCAGTTTGGGAGGAAAAAGATGCTTATTAAAACAGATTCATTTTTCAAATTCATATCTTTTAATGACTGTTCTAGCATTTGAAAATGACTGCCCATCTTAATAGAGGGCCAAATAAACTGGGCAGACGATAAATTAAGTCATTTTTTTAAATAATCGCCCGAGCATGCTTTGTTGATTACAGACCTGGCATCTGTAGGCTGCACTTTGTTGCTGTGCAGTCAAAGTGCCACATGTACTAACTTTATAAAAAACAAAAAAATACCAGTAAGACGGTGACGGTAAGACTTGTGTTCTTACTTTTCAGAGTTGCTCATACTTAACTGGTCATATATTAGATGCTAATTTTAGAGCAAGAAGAAAAATGAATAACTATAAACTACCTTAGATCTAGATTCACAGCAAGCCCTCCATCAGATTTAATTTAGTTAGGAACAGGTTCCGAGCTGCATCACATATGCGCTAAATTATTAAAAATCTTAGTACTTAGTTCAAGTTAGGGCTGGACAATAATTCAACATCGATATATATCACGATATACGTTTATTAAATAATGGTAATATGCATTTTAAGCACATTTTTGATATTTCGATACGCATTACGCTATGATTACAGCGTTTCGCTGATGCATTTCTTTTTCTGTTCGGGTTGAAACGGCCACTTCAACCCGAACAGAAAAAGCTGCGACACAACGACGTAAGTGCGTGGTGACGTACACCACACACAGAGCTCGAGTCCAGAAGGAGTCAGCGGTAGCAGGCTAGGCTAATCGCCAAAGTTTTCGCTTCAAAATGAGTGCCCATGACCGTCAGAATGTGACTGAACAAACTTTCACAAGCGAAAAGAAAACAGATGACATAATTGAGAAGAGAGGAAAGACTAATTTGGTGGTGTGGAAGTGGTTCGGCTAAGATCCGATAAACTGCAGGTTTCAGTCAGTGTGCTGCAAAAGGTGCCGGAGTCTCGTTCCAATTAGTGGTGGGAACACATCGAACTTGTTCCACTCGATAGAATATGCTGAGAGTCAGAAGATGAAGCACAATAAAAGTTTGTGCCAACGTGTCCCTGAAACAACACCCCCAACTGTATCAAAAGAGAAATCCATGTTAGGTAATGTTGTTTAAAGTTAAAACTTAATATTGACAAAGTTGACAGTTTTATTTTTATTTGACAGTGATTTAAAATTTATTTGAAGGCAAAATACAAATAAAAGGTGAACATTAAATTATTTGTAGTTTTTCTGAGACTTTTTTTGGTTATATCGATATCCGAAATATATTGTTATCGACCGAAATTAAGAAATATATTGTGATAAAGTTTTGGTCATATTGTCCAGCCCTTTCAAAAAATCTTTATTATCCCCAAGGGGTAATTTATTTCACAGTCAGTAGTCACAAAAAACATCCATACTAGAGAAGACATTGAGACGTTAAAATAACGGTACACAAATCATCACTGTTCGCTGAGCAGCCTGATCTCTACAGGGATTAATGAGTTTTTCAGTCTGTTCGTTCTACATCTGGGCAGCAGATACCAGCGTCCAGAAGGAAGCAACCTGAACTCACCATGGAGTGGGTGATCAGGATCTGCCAGAATCAGCCTGGCATGGTTCACTGACCTCACCTTGTGCAGGTCAGTGAGGTTCTGTAGGGGTACACCAGCAGTTTTGCTGAACATAGTGACAATCCCCGAGAGTTTATATACACTTCAACGTTATCAATTCTGTTTTTTGGTTAGGTGGAAATAAGGAATGCGCGATATAAATGGTATAGAGATCTGCCTTCAACCGGCTAACTGCAGTAATGCTGTGTCTGATGTAAAATCAGAGCTGTCAGATTTAATCGTTACTTTTTTTGAGTTGGAAACTGTGCGCAAGTGGCGTTAAAGTCTTTTCTTCGAGAGCTAAGTAGCAAAGCTACAAGCTAACTACAGCCGGCTTGCCGTAGTGTTGCCGTATTGTGACGCATGCGCAAAACGCTGTGTTCCGTCAAAAGTTGTTTTTTTTCCATCGTAAGTTGAAGTAAGCGTTGGTCAGCTTTAGAGAAACCTGTTCTCTGATCTGTGAAAAGAACGCTGTGTTGTGTGATTTTACTGCGAGACCCTCTGGTCAAAGCCACAGTCATTTTGTGTCGGCTCTCCATTAAAGCAGAAGGAGTCGCCCACTAGAGGTTTGGAGGTGAAGTGTTTCAGTGTAAAATGCTGTTCTGTTGCTGTTCATTTCTTAAGTAAGACTGGAAACTGTTAACATATTATTTTGTTTAAAACATATGGTTAAAACTAAATTTTATATATTTTGCACTGTTGTGCACTACAAGCAAGAAGCCTAATACTTGATTTGTTTATTATTTAAAAACTCTCTGGACCTAGTAGTGGAATATTCTTAATTCAAAATATATGATGGCAAAAGGACACCCTATGCTTTTAGAAAAAATTGCTATTAAGTTTTATACCCAAAACATATTGCGATATATATCGTTATCGCCACCCTTCACAATACATATTGTGATATGAATTTTATGCCATATCGCACATTCCTAGTGGAAATCTCTTTCTTTCACAGGCTGTGTGAGCCAAAGTAGCTTTTGTACACATGCATGTGTTCGATAGCTACTTTATAAAATAAAATATGCGGCCTGATGTCTCCACAAAAGTCTAATTTGAAATTAATCATTTTAATGAGCCAAGAGAAGCTTATTGTCATACCTGCGAGATGATTTGTTATTAAACTGTTAATGTTATGGGGGGTGGGGTAGCATTATATAGAAACCCTCTGCTGCCATGATTTCTAAAGATCAACGCCTTGTCCGTTCACCTCTAGTCACGTATTTGGCACCTACCTCTATGGGACCAATTGACCTGAGGAGGTTCATCAGCTGACACTCTGTTGTAGATGTGGAGAGCCCCTCAATGGACACAGTAGCACCAGGGATCTCTGCATCTCTCTGGCTCTGTCTGGTGGGTGCTGGATGACCTCGACCCATCTGACCAACTGCACTTCCTCGGCCTCGGCTCCGGCCTCGGCCTGGCATGACGACCTATCCAGCAGCAAGAGAGATAATTGCCCAAATAAAAAAAAAGACATGCAACAGTAACATTAAGAACTGCAAAAACACGGAACATTTTCTTTCTGTAACAAAAACACTGCTGTATTCAGTCACGTAAAGAGGTTCCTAAACATCGAGGTGTGTTTAAAAAACTGCCTTTTCTCTTGTGCCTCTCAGACTTTAACACGATTGACTCATCACCTATCTACACAGAGCATCAATGTCAGAAAGTGATGAATGCTGCATGACACTCTTCATATGATCCTGTGTGTGAGAGGTACATTTTTCCAGCTGCAAAGAAGGAGGAGGGAAAGACCCTAAAAAGGATAAAGAGGGGGGTAGTAAGAATGTGTGTGTGGTGGGGGAGCATAAAGGAAGAGCAGCCATGCAAGCCTAGTGGTGGCACCTTACACTGTCAGCATCAGCGAGTATGGAATCTGTGACAAGAACCTGGTGGTGACACGCATGCAGAGAGGCCAGGGGACTTTGTGTTGCCCCGTCATGTTGTTTTCAACTTGTCAATACTCCTGCACCTGTATACCGTCCTGTGTCACTGCAACCACTACCTGATTGGTATGTCTACTGAATAAAAATGTAATGCAACATTACAGGAGACATTTTGGCTGTTTTTTCAGTGGAGATGCCACGAAGCCCATTAATAAAAACATTTTAGGTGAAAAGACTGCCAGTAGCTCATTTATGACATACCCTGCTTTGCTGTGCGTTGCCCCTGCCCCCGCGGCTAGCCTGTGGTGTTCCGCCTGGTCCCTGCTGCTGCTGTCCCATCATGGTCACCTTCCTTTGGACGCTCTGGTTGAGTGGAGATACTTGCCAGGAACTCTGCTGCTGCACTGGGTCGACGAATGCCTCAGGCTCCTTTCCACTCTGAATGGAGATAAGGACGGAAAACACTAAAGTAGTGTCTCACAATGTCAGCATTTATCTCTAACTGCACACATCACACACTTGTGCCACTAGAATGTATTTAAGTTTTACGTGACAACAAAGGAAAACTGAAAATCTGCAAACACTGAATGTGCATTTCTATCGAGCAGTATTTGGAGAATAGAGATCAACCAAACAAAGTGATGGTCTCATTATCAAATAAAGTCACAGATCTGCTGTGTTGACGTGCAGGGAGGAATTGAAGGTCGTCTTTTCTCCGACTCTGCAGAAAGATGTGACAGATCAATACGTGGGAAGAAAAGAGGCGCTATCTCTGACCTGTCCCCAGCTGAGAGTAAATGGATTAATCCCTTCTATAGAAATCACAGCTCCTGATTGCACCCATCAAATGCTAAGCTGCATTACACTGAAACGACAGCAGCTCGATGTGTATCCCATCCCCCCTTCACGCACACCCTTCCCTGAGCTTTTGTATTTTGCACTGCTTTGTATTACCCCTGATGAAAATATAATTTGCTTCTTATCTGTGTGCCTAAGCTATACAAATCCAAATCCTCAAAAGTGGCAACTTTCTTACACAGGTATTATGAAAGATTAATTACAAGGGTCTTGGATTGGCATCTTTTGTTGCCTCGCACCTGAAAGATGGGTTGATATGAAAAAGCAACTGAGGGATGACAGAGGGAAGAAGAGGAAAAAAGAAGCGATAACATTGTCAAACTCTTGTTGATGACAGCGGAACAATGTGGAAGAGAGAATCTTCTTTTCACTCCAATTATTAGCCCCAGCTCTTTCCATTCCTTTTTTTTTTTTTTTGCTCCGCTTCACATCCCACTCCACTTTTTTCGTCACAATGCAGTAAATCAGATAGCTCTGCACAGGTTTCCATTAACACACTGACACCAAGTGATCTTCATCAGCAGCCAGTCACCAATTTTGGCGCAGCAGCTTGATCCTCTGGGATGGAAAGCAGCTTATTTCAAATATTATCACATCCCACCACCGTGTCTCTTCAATGACAAGTATTAATGTTTAACATGCACGCCTTTGTGGGTTTTCAATAAAGATTAGTGTGCAATTAAGGACAAAGCCACAACTTATCAGGAGAGAATGAAATAGCCAGCAGTGATATTTTCTGGACTTTGTTAAAAGTTATTGTCAATCTTATTTTACGTTATGCCTTTAAGAGAATGCTTATCTGTCCTGAAAAGAGGATCTCAACCTTTAAAAGCAGTGACGAGGTGTCCCCAACTCAACAGATAAATGTCAAACTGCCTTTCTGCGTTATAGAAGTATGTAAAGACATTCTTGCTTAAATACCAGTTCCCAAAGCTTAAAAGAAGAAACTCTTAACAGATCAATTTTGTCAAAATGACACAGACATCACTGTGTCATCCCCGTAGGTTAGATATCAGCTAGATTACAAAATAGACAGTGAGGGCAATCAATAGCATTTCTGTTGAAGCTATGTAGTTCCCCCCCTAGGGGTAAAATCTACTGTAAAGGATCAAATAAATGCCAAAGAAGGTGTCATAAAAATGAAACCATATGCTCACCAGTCCTGAAAGTTTGACAACTCTGACTTTTTGTGGCACCGGCTGGCCTTCCATACTGGAAGTTCTGACTCTTTGCATCACAGTTCTTTTAGCCCCAAGTTTGGGTCCTTGAATCTGAGCTGGGTCTTGTCCCATTGGTGTGTATGTCTGAGGAACTTGAAGAGACTGAACCGGAGCATTGGGTCTGTTTACACTTTGCACATAACTGTTCCTTTGTTGTTGTAGCTGCTGATGTTGTTGGGGCAAATTCCATTGCTGTTTGGTACCAGTGCCTGAGAATTGCTGCTCCGGTTCACTGCCTTTTATCATTTGGAGGCGTGCCTTAACATTTAAACGTGGTGGAGGGGTCTGATCAGCACCACTAATATGCAGGGTGGTGTCTTGATTAGGATTTGTTAATGTGTGATTTAGCGATTGATGCATATTTTGAGGAAGCAATCTCGGTTGTTGTGCCTGTAGCAGAGGTCGTTTTTGTTCTGGCTGCTGCTGCTGCTGATTTGATAATAGAGGTTCAGTTTGTGTAGGAGTGGGGCCTTGGTACGGTGTGTTTGTCTGAGAATTAAGTCTATCCAGCAGCTCCCTCTTTCGAACACCAGCCTGCATTTGCCGTCGTAACTCCTTTTTCTTCAGAATCTCCTCTCTCAAACGCTTCTGCTCCTCAATCTTCAAACGATACTGTCGTGTCTCCTCATCTTCATCAGGGTCCTGCAGAAAAATTGCAAATGCATGAAAAAAATAAAACATGGATTGTTAACAGTTATGTTCTCACAATTCTTTTAAAGCTGTGAATATAGCTAAAGGGTACCACTTGCGCAAAGAAGTCAGCACTATATTGCTTGGCCTGATGTTTAACTTTAATCAAAGTAAAAATTTAGGATTTTTTTCCCCAAACGAGACTAGAAATTTCAGTAACCCTGTTGTTTACCATTCGTAAGCATATTCCTAACATCTGGTTTACTATTTAGAGAAAAGTATTTAGAATAAATCTATAATTGATCTACAATGTGTTTAGTTTTAGCTTGATTAATTTTTTTTAGTCCCTGGAAGAACAAAAATTCATGTTCAAACACTAACCTGTGGTGTAGGGTTGGACAGTGTGCTCAGGGTTTCCTTATTAACCATTGTCCTGTCTGCCCCCCCAGGCTGTGATTCAGGCTTTGCAACTTGGCCTCTTCCTCTGTCGCCGCCAGACATCGGCTGTGTGTACTGGCCCATACGCGTCCTCGGTGTTGCCCTGGCAACAGGCTTGATGTTGGCAGCAGGGGAGTCGGGGGTTGGGGCGGTGTGGGTCCTGTTCATGTTTGTGTTACCAGGTGCTACAGGGAGCTCCCGCAGGTTGCTGTTGCGCTGCTGCATTTGTTTGGAAATAGGCGTGTTCTGTAAAGTAAATACTAAGATCATCTTATGTAATTCAAATTTATTTTTACCTATAATAAATTGCAACTCTTTCAAATCAAGTCCTGTTCATTTAAATACAACATCGGAAAAATGTGCACCATAAAAATAAGAAAACCCAGATACCATCAAATTGACCTGAAAATAGTTGAGCCAATATGTTAATCTCTTACCATTCTCTGCCGGTTTGACATGATGCGCTGCTGAGGGTTCTGAGGGCGAGGATTCATCTGCCTCGGGCTACCATGCTGTTGATGGAAAAAATTCTGACCATGGTGTGTCATGGGGCGAGGCTCACTGAGATTTATCTGTTGCTGATGGGGGAACTCTTGCCTATGGTGCTGCTGCTGATGGTGCATGGGATGAGGCGACAATGGGTCGTGATGTGGCAGCTGAGAGACAGGGGGGGCTAAACCCTGCAATTATGGGGAAAAGAAGCAAAAAGTGAATGTCAATTTTTGTGATAGTTTTAGTTTTGCAACACAAACAATTGTTGAATCTGAATCTTTATCGGAGCATTAGATTGGGCAATTTATAGGAAATTACCCTCCTAATGAGCATTCTTGTTGAGCGATATCATAGTGCTTCAATCACTAGAGGGAGCTCTTGTCTATGCCTCAGCAAAATGAAGTGGCGCAAAATATGGCTTTATTTTTTTAAACAAATCTTCAACAACCATAAATAAGACAACTAGTCAGATCAAATACCCATATTTAACAAAAAAAACAAGAGACAATTGGGGCAGAAGCGGAGAAATGAAGATATAAATACACAAGACACATTGTAGTAATTAAAATCACTTACTCTGTGTCGTACCTGCATCCCAAACTGAACTTGTGGTGGGGGGAAACGGTTCCCCTGCTGGCCAAAGGGCTGACGAGGGTTCATGAAAGGCCTGGGTTGGTTGGGGGCCCCACCTTGTGGATTCAAATTCACCACTCCCTGGTGATTTTGGTGGGGAGGGAGGTTTGGTCTTGGAGGTTCTCTCTGAAACATTCCTAGTAGGTCCGGGCCCGTCTGGTTAAAGGGCGGTCCTGGCGGGCCGAAGCCCATGTGGCCCTGGCCGGGCAGGTGCTGCTGGTGGAGGTTGTTGCTGTTGTTCATCAAAGGGCTGGGGCCCTGGTGATCAAACATGTGCTGCGCTGGAAACCGTGTTGGATCTGTGCACTCTGTGGCCATACCAAAAAACCACAAATTATTTTTAAAAATAACAACACAAGTGAGATGTTTTGTCTTCCTTTTCTTTCGTTTATTTTACGCAAGAGCGTTCCAGTGCCAATAATCCCTTCTCCAGATGTGTAGTATTTCGGCCAAAAAATAAAAAACGACAACTTTTTTAAACCAGTGATGTAACAACAATCAATCTGTATTAACAATGTCAATAAAAACACATAAATATGCATATCTATTGCCATTTCCAAGGTTCTTTAAGATGTATGTTAATATACACATACATGCATTTCACATGAGTTCTGCTAAAACAGCAGCACCACAGAGCTGGCAGCATACCCTCTAGGTATTGGGCTAGAGGTGATAAAGAGGGTTAAATATGTGAACAGAGCTTTGTAACACTCATAAGGTTGAGTGTGAGCCTCACCTCCTATAAACAGGGGCTCCCTGTCCTGAGGGCCTTGAGGTGGCTGGTTCCTCAAGGGCTCCATGTGATGAGGAGGCCGCTGAGGCTGACCAAAACTGTCTGGCATATGACGCTGAAAGTCTCCCATTACCTGAGAACAGACAAAACTAGCATAAATTATTTGCCATCTGAAAAACTCAGTAATTAAAAATAAAAGAAACAATAAAAATAAAAAGGAGAGAAATTACTTTGGACAGGGAGTGATTGTAAATGGAAAGTGGGGGCCATTAAACAAATGTAGAATCATGAGTCATCAATATGTATGCCAATATCAAAGGAAGCCTTCAGCATGAATTCTTGAACAAACCAACATTAATGCTACTTGAGGCGCTATCAATAAACCTAAAGCCAGCCTCTAACAAGGAAAGAGTATTTCAGGAGGGAATAGGTGCCCTCATCTTTGTTTCAACTACTTTGAATCTTCGACAGCTTTCTACTCATTGCATACGCTCTAGTCCTAATCAATTTACTTACGAAAACTAGATAACTATTTAATCCCTCCTTGGAATTTGAATCCCACTCATAACTGTCTTCTTTATTCTTTTAAACATCCATCTCTGTTGAAAAATTAACCTGCTATTCAACACGTGGCACTTCCACAAATGGGCTGCTTTGCCTCCTCCAAGCCTATTGTAAATTACTTAAGATGCTATCAAGGCCTAATCCATCTTTATTCCACTGCTGCGTGGAGGTATTTAGAGAGAAGAGGTGTTAGAAAGCAAGGCCAGAGTTCCAAAAAACTTGCTTAACATAAAGTTAATCAAAAGGGCTTACAAAGACAGGGGATCACAATGGGGGCACAATCATGCCTTTCTAAAAGGTCAGGCAGCCAGGTTTGCACAATAAGGACTCTGGTGTCCATATAATACCTCTCAAATACCACAGCTCATCCTCTCACTTCTAATCCCTGATAAAACACTGTCTGGAATGCTCAATACTTAACTGATGCTGGTACAGCTTGAAGCTGAGAGGATATATCCAAGACAAATATAATGACGAGGGGCCAAATGTTAAAGTACTTTATAAATTACGATAACTTGATTAAAAAACATGCTTTGTTTCTGGGTATGTTGACATTTTGCCCATTGAGCTCATTCATATACCAACTTTGAATTTTATAATTAAAAAAGTTAACGACTGAAGGCTATGAAGGTTACATCTAATGGGCGTTTTTGTTAAAACACACAAATCTACAAGCAGATATCCGAAGCCGAAGATATTTTTAAACTATGAATGAAAAAAAAGGAAACATTCAAAAGGAATACGTTTAGCCTCAAAATTATGTGGTAATATTTAGCATTACAGTAATATTGCTCCTTTTTCTATCCGTGTAAAAAAAACAAAAAACAGATTTGAACTGGTTATCAAACAATTTCCAAGTTGGATCTTTGCAATATTTTTGCCTGCATTTAGCAACAAACAACATATACAACATTAAAATACAAGCTGTGCACTGATGTATTTTAGTTATCAAACCAGCTAGTTCTAGCCTGTAACCATGAGAAACTAATTAATTTTGTTTTCTGCTCCACCAGACTGGCTCCAATACTAAACCAGACCAAGTGTCGGCCTGGCACACAAAAACACAGTTACAGTAGCACAATAAATGAATAAGACATTTAATTGTGGGCTGGAAACCAATAAAAAATTATGTGAGGCAGCGCAGCATTTAGTCTGCCTAATTCACGAACAAACAATAAAAACACAGATCTTTAACGCTGATGTGAAATCAAAGCAGTACTGGAATAACATAAGATCAATGCGTCTCATTTTCCTGCTGCTTGTTTTAATATCACCAGTTGGGCAGCGAGTGCAGATTAATGCAGCACACAGTTACAATGGAGTGGCTTTGTGGCTCTGGAAAAACAAACTACTGGTAGTTCTTTGCAATATATACATATATTTTTAAGAACCAGTTAGGAATTGACTCTAGCAGCCCCAGTTTAGCATCACTTTGGTGGAGAAGATGATTCTGCATGCACCATCCAGTGGTCCATCAACCATGACAAATTTGCAGTGACTAAGGTCACGTGTCTTTGTCCTTCATCTTTTTGTCTTAACATTGGAATAAAGGGTAGTTAATAAAACAAACTGTAAATGCTAAATAAAAAGGTTTTCAAACGAAGTTCATCTACTAGACAACTTTCACAAAGACCCCATTTAGAAGTTTAATATTTAATGATTTTTTTTTTCTTTGGATCGTTATTATTGAAAATGATCTGCAAATAATGAAAATAGAAGCTTCATTTTTTTTTAAATAATGCGTGAGCAGAATAAATATTCCAAATAATGACTTTAATTGGTGTTAAGATTAATATTTCAAAACCATCTCCGATAGCAAACGTGTGATGCAGTAATACTGGAGGCTACGACCCCCCATTAGCCTGGCCTTTAAACAATTAAATTTGATGGGATGATAATGTATGATAATCATGAGTAATCAGGTGCCCGCTGATAAATGGAGTTGCTGGCTTGTATGTCACCTGCATTTCAATTCATGTCCTTGGCAACACGAGTCTAAATTTGATTGACAGCTGGGAAATCCAACACTATGCCGTTAGTCAGCCCAGTTGTCTTCATACCCATCCCATTACATTTTCTACTCTGATATAGGCCAAAACTCTTTTTTGCTACTCTGCTGTCAATATTTAACATGACTGTAGACTGCAGGGAATAAGAATAGCATGATACTGACATTGAAGGTTAAAAAAAAAGGTAAATAAAAATCCAGCGTTTGATTAAGACTGTCTCCTGAGAAAGAGCCGAGCTCATTTGTGCATCCACATGAATGCAATTGGATGTAGCTATTTTGTGATAGCCAATTTGCATAAATCCATCTAAAATCGACTATCCAGAAAGATGTCAGTCAGTACCAGCACCACCTGATGCCCTGGCTCAATTATCTAAAAAGATGGATTTACCTCAAGCATTTTAGTTGACTTTACACAGAGCCAGTTCATCTCTTGAATGGGTTCTTGAGTTTAAAAAAAATAAAAGGTCTGTTTACAGGAAAACACTTGTCTGATGTGAAATTCTAACTTAACAGATGCAAAAGAAGAAACAGGCTCGCCTCCGACCTCATCAATCCATCACATTTCATTAATTCACATACCATAAAAAAACAAACATTTCTGTGCTTTTAGGACACAAACTCGAAAGCAAATTTTAACTGGCACTATATCCTGTATCCACAATTCCATTACGTGCGATGCTGAATAGCCTGAGCTTCAGCCCATCCATGAAGCACCTCTAAGTACTGTAACCGTGGGCCAAGACGCAAAAACTCTTTTGCCTGAAGCTCCTATCATGCATTTCCAGTTGTGCGGCCAGGCTCATATCAGTGTTTACGGATTTGCTTTAACAGCATTTGGCCAGTGCAAACGGTCTAATTGAAGTAATGTTATTGCCCTCACATAAAGGGACGCTGACCATGTGGCGAGTGGGAAAGTGAAGCGAAAGGAAGGTAGAGGAGCAGCTGCTACTCACAGGAAACCTCTGAGGACCCACAGCAGGTCTGGACTGGCTCTGAGCAGGAGGCATCAAGGGCACTGCAATGAGAAAAGGGGGCAAAACAGAAAACAAAAGGAGGCGGGGGAGGGGATAAAAATGAAAATGAGAGGCAGTAGACAAGAGTGTGTGTGACTGTACAGAGGAGGAAATATCTCAGTGCTGAAGGCTCTTAGTCAGGCAAGAATAGTCCATTTCAGCAGAGTTGCTCCTCATAATTTTACACTGGTATGTACAGACGAGCGAGATCAATGTAATACAAAAAAACATGAGAATAATTTACTAAAACATGAATAAGGTGTTTGCTGTTTTATAGCATTCGGCATTATATAAATCAGTAAATTTGATTTTGATGTTTTCAGCTTTTTGAATGGCAAAGGTTTTTACTGTATGTCAAAAATCCAAGATGACAAACCGGAAAATCCAGAAAATCAAGAGAAATAATTGTACACATATAAAAATAGCTTAACTTAGGGCACATTTAGAATATTAACTAATTAACCTTGTGCAGAAGACTGTGAAGGTCCTCTAAAGTGGGGATTAATGTGGATGTTTTTGGGATGCGAGGGCTGCTGTTGGTGATGCTGCGGGAAGTTGGGCGGCGGAGAGCCCATCATTCGTGATGGTTGTTCCATCTGTGGTCGCAGTGGTGGGGAGCGATGAGCCATGTGAGAGGGGATGAGAGGTTGAAGGGCTTGCTGGGGAATGGGCCGACCATGCTCCTGGAAAGGAGGAGGTCCTCTTGCTCGTGAAGGGTGGTGCTGATGGGACTGCAATTGCTGCTGATGTGGCATGTGAGAGGATGGCTGGTAATTAAAGAGCATACAAAAACAAACAAAAAGCAGATCAACATCTGATAAAACAGGTTTCTATTTAGGTTTATGACTTCACTGTTTACATTCACATGAAAACAAACCAGTTTGTATTAATTTGCAAAAATGGAACAAGTCAAAATGAGTGGGCCTGACAGTACTGGAATATACAGGAATATCTCAACCTACTGATTATTGTAGAAATCCCAATTTAGTTAATGGGCATTTCAAATTGATCTTTGATAATTGCTCAAACAAACAAAACAAAAACAAACATGCCAGTGACCAAATTAGTCAAATGCTACGTGACAACGATAGTATGTTTCAAAAGCACACCCTCATTAACTGCGGTCAACAAAATATATGTGGTGCTCCCATGTCAACTGTATGTCATTAATTTATCTTGTCCAGTGTTGTGTTCTGAATTTTACCATCTATTATCATTAATTAATAACTCTTAAAATAACACACTGCTCAAGTTAAATGCCTTGCAACCTTGAGAAGAACTACTTTAACCCTAGGGGTTCTTTCTAGCTCTGAAAACACACATAATTTTGATTTGTTACCTGCAGCCTTGGGCTAAGAAACGCTACACATCCATATGAGTTATATGCAAATTATTTTACAAATTTAAAGAGCAATTAATATTTTAGCTATTTATATGTGACATTAGGAATGCGCGATATATACAGTACACAGTAGAAACGATAAGACGACATTTAGCCTATGATAGAGATCTGTATTCTACCAGCTAACCACGGTAATGCTGTGTCTGATGTAAAATCAGAGTTGTCAGATTTAATCATCACTTTTTTTAGTTGAAAACTGTGTGTAAATGGTGTTAAAGTCCTTTCTTCGAGAGCTAAGTAGTGAAGCTACAAGCTAACTACGGCCGGCTTGCTGTACTCGTATTTGGACGCATAGCAAAACGTTGTGTTCCGTCAAAGGTTTTTTTTCCGTCAAACGTTCATTTGTCAGCTTTAGAAAGTGTATTTGAGCTAAAAAAAAAAAAAAGGTTAAACCTGCTCTCTGAGCTGTGAAAAGAACGCTGTGTTGTGTGTTTTTACTGCGAGACCCTCTGGTCAAAGCCACAGAGGAAACTGGTTGCCATTTTGTGTCAGCTCTCCTTAAAGTGGAAGGAGATGCCCACTAGAGTGTCGGAGGGTTAAATGTTTTCAGTGTAAAATGCTGCTCTCTTGCTGTTCATTTCTTAAGTGAGAATACTGGAAACTGTTAAGAGTTAACAACATATTCTTTTGTTTAAAATATATGGCTAAAACTACATTTGATATCTTTTGCACCACAAGAAATAAGCCTAATACTTGATTTGTTAATTATTTAAAAACTCTCTGGACCTAGTAGTGGAATTGTCTTGATTGAGATTATTTTGTGGTATAGCAGTTTTCAAAATAAATAATGGCAAAAGGACACCCTATGCTTTTTTTTATTTCTATTGCAAGTTTTATACCAAAAACATATTGTGATATATATCGTTACACCCATCACAATACGTATCGTGATATGAATTTTATGCCATATCGCACATCCCTATGTGACAATGCAAAATGCTATACATCACAGCATGCCAAGCAATATGAAATATACTGAAAATCAAACCTAGAGATCTAGTAGTAACTATTTTACTATATAAATGTCAGATCTTGCAGTTCGGCAAAGCTTTATGTCTTTTATCCCAGTAAAGAAGCCACTCGAAAGGAAGCAATCATGAAGAAGCCAATCAAATTGAATTTATTTTCTCAATATAAATATAGTAATGAAACTGAAACAAAACACATTTTTAAATATATTCAACTGAATGTTCCCAATGTTCAAACTTTAAACATTACAGACAGACATATCCTTTAAAAATGGCCTGCGAAGATGATTGAACAGCCGTTTACCTGTATGCTCATGTTTCCCATCAGGGGAAGCATTTGGTCATGTATTTTCCTCCTTTGTCCTCCTCTATAATCGGACATTCCAAACCCAGAAAATCCTCCTCTTCCTCTGCGTCCTCGACCCCCTCCTCTGCCATAGCCTCCATAACGATTTGGTCTCTTTTGCCGCTCGTGTTCTCCATCAAATCCAAACTTCATCAAATCTTTTTTAGCTTTCTCTGACAGCTCTGATAACGTGTAAAGAAAGAAAAGGACAGGAGTGTACATTAGGCGTGAAAAAAGCAAATAACAAAAGTTCAAGTAGTGAAGTAAAGCAGTATACAAAAAAGATTGAATTGAAACATTTAGGGGTCACTTTGTATGCAAATTAAATAGAAAAATGGACAAAGTTTGTACCGAGAGTTTCAGGAATGTTCCTCCTTTTATTGCCTGCATCCGCCAGTCGTACCACAGAGCCGTCCTTCCTTTCAGATTTAAATCGTATTCGGCCCGAGTCTTCAACTTCATCTTCTTCTTCATCTGATTCCTCCTTTGTTTCATCATCTGGCAAAGTGTCATGTTCACCCTGAAGACATTTGCTGATGTTAAAATCACACCTCTTTCACATAACATCTTTGCTTTTATGGTGCAATGTGTAAATTCAGAGCAATAATAAGACAAAGCAAAACTGGTGCTCAACATAATAGCTTTAATACAAGGACCAAAAACTTAACTACTATGCAAACTTTTTACTAAAAAAAAAAGTTATTTTCAAAAACAAATATTTCCATACTGTATCTATTTCAAATAATAAAAAAACTAATGATTGAAAAAAACAAACACACAAACAACAAGTGATAAAGCTATAATATTTTATATCCAGTGCTATGTTTTAACTATAGATTCAGAAATCTATGAAACTTCACGGTTTTATTTACCTCTTCTGTGTCATAGACTTGAGATGCCTCAGTGGTGGTTTCTTCTTCCTCTCGCTCCCTTTCTCTTCCCGCCTCCTCTGTGTCTTCCTCATGGGTAGCTTCATATTCCTCATCCTTCCAAGTTGATATGAAAAGTAAGATTAAGACTGCAACATCACTGATAACCAAATTAATTTCTGCTTTATTATGTTAAATAAAACAATTCATATTGAGTAGTAGTTCTACAGACAGGCAGATTTTTTGCAGGAAAAAGTATACATATTTTAGATTTCTGATACATAAAACTTAAACATCAAGAAAAGACGAAAAAAGAATGCAGACGAAAATATTTTGGGGAGGACTTGGGGAGGCACCAGGGAACCCCACCCCTTCCAAAAGCAAATTACCATAACAGTGGGAGCAAGGCTTCATTACTATTCCTGACAGCATTTGAAATTCAATGAGATGTAAATGTTTGACATGATATACAGAAATGCAGGCACAGATAAAAACACTCCTCCCCGCTTCAGTGATGGTGAAAATATCATTGACTGACTCCTCACAAATCACTCTGTTATTGGCTGCACTGTAAGTTCACGACTCCATGTCGAAAATATAGCACAGAAACAACATTCTGAGATGACAAATCTATTTTTTATTTCCATAACAAGATTTAGTTTAACCTATGATGCAGTCAGTTGATATAACCATTTTGAAGATTTCTAATGAAAAGCTATTGTTCTAATAAAATCTACAAGAAAAAAAGGTGCAGCATTATTTATAAAAGACTAATCCTTCAGAATAACAAACATTTGCTAAATAAGGTCAGACTGTAGGTCACACAGTGGTGATTTCTGTTGTACTGCATTAACCTGCTACCCAGGCCACATATAAATGCAGAAAAAAAAACCACAACAAGCAAACCAAACAAATGAACAAAAAGCCCCAGGGGGAAGGGAACAGCTTAATCATTGAAAATGTTCCACGTAATCCTCAATGGTGAGCAAAATGTCAAGGCCAAGCAGTTTAGTGACCTTGTAAACAGCCATAATACACATCCATACAAACAGGCATCCTCCAAAATTCAAAAAAGGCAGCGACTTTGGTTAAGAAGGTCAATATCTTATCTTTGTTTTGAGAAGGGAGGCTAATATATCTCTGTCAGGTGCCAAACACAATCACGCCATGGTAAATGGACCATAACAGACATTTGCACATAGATCTGGTCTTATCTTTGATCCTCTTAGCCCAGGCTAAGAGGAAAAGGAAACGAATAAAAGAGAAACTCCCATCAATCATTAGAAAACTGTATGGAGTGTCCTCAGGAAGGTCAATAATCTTTTCACCTGCATGAGACTTTATCAGATCCAGTCTAAAGCCGGAGAAAAAGACGCCCACATTAACCTCCGCCGATTGGCAGCACAGCTCCCCGACACAAAGCGGATTCTTACTCCTCTAAAGATACAGGGCCCAAGGTCACAATGGCAGCGGGATTCGGAGGCGACAGCAGAGCATTACCCAGTGCCAAACAAGCTGTCAACTAAACTTTGTCAGCAAGATGGGAGAAATTTGCTGGCAGGAGGTGATAATGATTCTAATCATCCTCTGCCCAAAAACGCCAGCCAACATCTTCACCTGAATAGATTTTTAATCCTGACTTCTTCCAAAGCGTGACAAGAAAACTGACATTATCTCGGGGACATAATAGAGATGGAAAGGGTGGGTTGAAGAATGTGTGTGTGTGTAGACTTTTACATTAGAGCTATAAGCAAAATTGAAAACTCACTTGAAATTCACTATCTATAGGTTCAGTTATCTGGATGTCTAAGACTTCACCCTGGTAGCCATCATCATCCTGGGTCAAGTTTCTTATGTAATCATTTTGATCTTCAGGCATCTCTGTGTTGTCTTGATTGTATTCTTCTGTATAGGCTTCTTCGCCCTCTTGATGGTACCCCTCCTCCTCATCGTCTTCACAACCCTCTGCACCCAGGTTCACAACATCATCTGCGTAGTCTGCTTCCTGTGACTCGCCCTGCTGTCCAAAGGATGTGCTCATGCTGTAAGTGGCATTGCGGCCAACATCCTGACCACTGACAAACAAAAACAGTACATGTAAACATTTAGGAAATACTACGAGGTATAATGGGGGAAAATAAACCTGGAAGCAGTAATGAATCAGCATACATCATATTTAGGTCTTCATCATCACTTTGAAGAAGGTCATCGTTTAACTCTTCATCCGACACTTCTGAAGGATTCTGAAACAATTAAAAAAAAACATTAGCTCATCATGTAATGTTTTTTCCCCACTGTTTACTTTGTTGGTGTGTGAATGTGTTAAAGGTGTGGGGGCAGGGGGGCACCTCCAACCCTTAAGGTTGCTTTATTCCCATGTGGTGAAGGCAATCTGCGCAGGTCAACACAAGAGCTTTTTTGTCCACTGTACTTCCTCCTGGTGCAAATCAACAATTCCCCCCGTGGAGGAGCCACCTGCTACAAGTCCATTTCTCGTGAATATTTTCTAAAATGTTCCAACATTGTCAACTAATGTTCTGGATGTTTGTTTGTTTTTTCTGCTTTGAAGCACAAAATTACCACTAAAGAAATAAACTGTTCTTCTGGTGCCAAACAATAAATCAAAACAAAAAAAGTGAAATCCCAACAATTGTTCCTTAACCTTACCTTTTTACCAGACAACCAGTCCTCCTCCAACAAATCTTCTTCCAAATCACTAAAAAAAGGCAAGAAAAACTGATAAAGGTTTTACCAACAACTGTGTTGTCTTCATAATTGTTTTTATTAAAGATTAATTATATTTCATATTTTGCTTATATCTACTGGTAGTCTCACTTTATAAAGCTGCAAGGCTACAATAAAATAGCAAAACAAATGTTTGAAAAATTACAAGTTCATAACCATATTTAAATGTAGTTACACAAGTTATCGATATACAGTGCCTTGCGAAAGTATTTGGCCCCCTTGAACTTTTCAACCTTTTGCCACATTTCAGGCTTCAAACATAAAGATACAACATTTAAATTTTTTGTGAAGAATCAACAACAAGTGGGACACAGTCGAGAAGTGGAATGAAATTTATTGGATGTGTCGAACTTTTTTAACAAATAAAAAAACTGAAAAGTGGGGCGTGCAATATTATTCGGCCCCTTTACTTTCAGTGCAGCAAACTCACTCCAGAAGTTCAGTGAGGATCTATGAATGATCCAATGTTGTCCTAAATGACTGATGATGATAAATAGAATCCACCTGTGTGTAATCAAGTCTCCGTATAAATGCACCTGCTCTGTGATAGTCTCAGGGTTCTGTTCAAAGTGCAGAGAGCATCATGAAGACCAAGGAACACACCAGGCAGGTCCGAGATACTGTTCTGGAGAAGTTTAAAGCCGGATTTGGATACAAAAAGATTTCCCAAGCTTTAAACATCCCAAGGAGCACTGTGCAAGCAATCATATTGAAATGGAAGGAGTATCAGACCACTGCAAATCTACCAAGACCCGGCCGTCCCTCTAAACTTTCATCTGGAACAAGGAGAAGACTGATCAGAGATGCAGCCAAGAGGCCCATGATCACTCTGGATGAACTGCAGAGATCTACAGCTGAGGTGGGAGAGTCTGTCCATAGGACAACAATCAGTCGTACACTGCACAAATCTGGCCTTCATGGAAGAGTGGCAAGAAGAAAGCCATTTCTCAAAGATATCCATAAAAAGTGTTGTTTAAAGTTTGTCACAAGCACCTGGGAGACACACCAAACATGTGGAAGAAGGTGCTCTGGTCAGATGAAAACCAAAATCCAACTGTTTGGCCACAATGCAAAACGATATGTTTGGCGTAAAAACAACACAGCTCATCACCCTGAACACACCATCCCCCACTGTCAAACACGGTGGTGGCAGCATCGTGGTTTGGGCCTGATTTTCATCAGCAGGGACAGGGAAGATGGTCAGAATTGATGGGAAGATGGATGGGACCAAATACAGGACCATTCTGGAAGAAAACCTGTTTGTGTCTGCAAGAGACCTGAGACTGGGATGGAGATTTATCTTCCAACAAGACAATGATCAAAACATAAAGCCAAATCTACAATGGAATGGTTCACAAATAAACGTATCCAGGTGTTGGAATGGCCAAGTCAAAGTCCAGACCTGAATCCAATCGAGAATCTGTGGAAAGAGCTGAAGACTGCTGTTCACAAACACTCTCCATCCAACCTCACTGAGCTCGAGCTGTTTTACAAGAAGAATGGGCAAGAACTTCAGTGTCTCCATGTGCAACACTGACAGAGACAAACCCCAAGAGACTTGCAGCTGGAACTGCAGCAAAAGGCGGCGCAACAAAGTATTAACGCAAGGGGGCCGAATAATATTGCACGCCCCACTTTTCAGTTTTTTATTTGTTAAAAAAGTTTGACACAGCCAATAAATTTAATTCCACTTCATGATTGTGTCCCACTTGTTGTTGAGTCTTCACAAAAAAAAAATAATTTTTATATCTTTAAGTTTGAAGCCTGAAATGTGGCAAAAGGTTGAAAAGTTCAAGGGGGATGAATGCTTTCGCAAGGCACTGTAAGTTTTTTACAGATCACCACATCATAAGTTTGGAAAGCCTAGTCTTTAAACAAAGAGTTGATAATTAATGACAAAATTAGTTGTATGCTTTCTGCCCCTGCACATATAACAAATTCAGATGCAAACACACATTTACATATTAGAAAAAAATGAGCATTTGTAGTTTCAGACTGGAACTCTTAAATCAATCAGTAAGGTTATTTATTTTAATTAAATTCTAAGAAACTTTGGTTCAGTGCTTCTTAACAATCGTTGCTTAAATTATTAAATACTTTACAAACAACACAAAAGACTGCTGACAACTCTTGTTCAATATTATTCAAATCATCTAGAAAGACTAAATGTTCTGAATGCTGTTGTCTAGTAAACACACCCCTAGGCCTGTCGCGATAAACAAATTAATTAATCGCATGATGAATGAAAATTATCAACCTTATTTTCATTTATCGGCTTTATCGTTTCTTCGTGTCTCTCTCTTTCTACTGAAGACACTGGATGACCGGTGTTCTTCACTGACCCCCCACTTTCTCTTTTCTCTTTAAAATCCATTTTAACCATCCACAATCTCGTTTTTGGCTCATTACAAGCAGCTAAAATAAGAAGCTAAGCTACGAGCTAAGCTAACAGACCGACCCCGGGAAAAATCTTCTGTCCCGCCGAGCTCCAAAATTCACGGTTGAAGCCCGTGCCTTTGTCTAAAAAGTTGTTTTTCTCAGCAAAAAGAAGCTGAAAACTTGTTTTTTGATTTTTTATTAAAAGCTTTGTGTCAAAAATGCTATGCTAAAGAGCTCAAACCCCACTGAGCATCTGCCATGTCACCATGTCAGCCCATGTCACGTCAAGTGGCCTCCCTCCCATTTTTCTTAAAGAGACACGCTGCTCGCTCCCTCACTATCCATCCTTCAGTTCAGTCTTATACTGCTTTTTGGTGGTTGAAAAAAGGTACTACACTCCAAACAAATCAGCAATTATTCTAAAATTTGACTATTACTAATTATTGTTAAATTTCAAACAATATTATCATTTATCGCAATAATTTCTGAGACAATTAATCGCCCAGCAAAATTTGTTATCATGACAGGCCTACACACCACTCTTCCAAAAAGGAATTTTATTATTAGATTAACTGCTGAACTGTACATTTCCTAAAAAGTAACTTTAGCTAAATAAAGAACTATACTCACTATTACTAAACTCAAAATTGTTTACCCGTTGTTCATTAACATTGTGTATAACTTGTTTACATGTAGTTTTCTGAAGCTAAGTGTACCCCATAAAAATTGCACAGAATTCAATCACTTTCTTAGACAATTTGAATATAGTCCTGCGGTTATTTTATTTTTCTTATCATGTTGTAAAAAAAACAAAAAACGCTATATTTCTGTAACGATCTGTGCATAATAGTGTTTTACCTCTCTACGATATCATCACCTCTCCTCCGACGTGACCGCTCAATGCCAGGTTTGTCATATTCATCAAAGTCAAAATCTGCAACAGAAGAAACATTTTTCTTAGTCATTATTTGCTCAATTAAATCTACTGGAAAACTGGATTGCTTATTGGCCAAACAACTACATCAAAATAAATAACAGGACGAAGTTTATTCTTTTCATTAAACATGTCACTTGTATTGCAAAGATGCAAATGCAAGAAGTATAGTTGAAAAGTACAGACTAATTAGTGTTGTAATTTTTTTTTCTCAAAACAAGTTTCCATTTGTTAAAAATTATGTAAAAATATTAATTTAGTTTGAGTAAAATAGTTATTTTACTCGTTTTTCTTGCACAAGGAGGCAATTTCAGTTTCTTGGTGTGGTAGTAAATATTTCTAATTGATTCCATAGTGACACAGTCAGACTACTTCCTGTTTTGTCTCACTGACTAGTGAAGCAATCTGTGGTAAGTGAACAGCAGATCGGTAAATGGCCAACCACTGACCTGAATTTTTAGAGATTTAAGTACAAACTGTTCATTTTAGATCAGTAAATAAATCAAGTGTTAAAATCCTTGTAGAGAAGATATACAAATATTGGTTTATAACTTAACTTTATTTTTCCTGACACTGAGGCTGTGACACATCATGCCTCAAATCTGCTCCTTGGTGGTCACTGACCTACGTGTTTTGGATGTTTCCCTGCTTCAACACACCTAATTTAAATGGATGGGCTTCTTCAAAACTCAATGACATGCTGAGAAAAAAAAACCTTTTAAATCAGGTGTGCTGGAGCTGGAACACATCGAAAACTTGAAAGACAGTGCCCCCCCAAGGACCGGAGTTGGGGACCATTTGAGCTAGAAAGATGTCAAATTAAGTCAGGTACAGATAATCAAAGGAATTATTCCAAAATTTATGAAGAGGGCAGCAAGACAACAAACTTAATATAATATTCACGATAATTACTCAAGCTGGTGAGTGCTACAGTTTACAAATCTACAGGGAAATTTCTTTGGATGACTAAAATTAACTTTTTAATGAACACTTCTCTAAGGCTACGTTCACACTGCAGTAGGGCTGAAATGATTCCTCGAATCATTCGAGTACCTCAATTACAAAAAATCCTCGAGGCAAATTTATCTGCCTCGAAGCTTCATTAAACTAGTCAAAGCACTGTGGTCTAGCCGGAAGGTTTTTGTGTTACACAACGATAGCACTTCCGCTAACGTGTATGTGCGAAGTTTGTAGCTATGGAGGGAACGGAGACGGCCTACAAGAAGAGCCCTGAAAACAACAAAAACTGTCAAAAGTTTGGGAACATGTTAGGCTAAACAGAAAAGACAACACAGCGAAATGCAGCCACTGCAAAGCAGAACTGAAGTAACGACAACAGCAGGTCGTCCATGTTGCATGTTGAAGAGAAAACACCCGCTGTATGCATTAACTCGTCCGCAGCTGTAACAGGTGTGTTCTCTTTGCAAAATACGTTCACCTAAATGTGTGATAATCTGTCATGTTATAGATATAAAATGAGACATATTTTTGCTAACGTTAAATCTACTGACTAATCATAGTGGCTACCTGGCAGGGTCTGTACGTTGTGTGAGAAAAAAAAAAAAACATGCAGAACTTGATGCAAGTTTGTTAACGAAAAAAGCAGCAACAGACTGATGCATTTATTTATTGCTGTACTCCATCCTGACTTAAATGAGATATTTAGGGTGAATATTTCAAGTGTAAATGTATTTACATGAGTTAGTAGGATTTTTTTTCTTCTTGCTACTGGTTTATGATTTAAAAACTGGGATTAATCTGCATGTATTAATACTGCCATATTTGTTTATAGCTAAGAAATCAAGACTAAATAATAATACAGTGTGCAGAACTCAATGTACAAACTCAAACTTTACATTATCTATCTATCTTACTCAATTTCTAACAAAGATTACATTCAGTTTTCCAATCCATAAAAATATTTACAGCATTTAGATTTTTATGTGATGGTTAAAAATAATTCAGTGACAGCGGGTTTTAATTAAAGCATCTTCAAACCTCACACATAAATAAAAGCTTAAAAAGCATAAATCAAATACAACTGACATGCTAATGTTACTTTGACTGCAGCAGGGTCATCAGAAAGTGTAGATTACTTAACAATATTACATAATTTTGTAATATCCAGTGAAGTACACTTGAAAATGTATTAAGGAATAATAATGAACAAACAATTTTATTCTACTCCTTTTCAAATGGCAGATTCATACGCTGGACAGCTTTGTACAAAGGGCTCCAGGATGTTGGGTTGTGCAGCAGATGAGTTCACAAACAGCATTTTAAATATGATCATCACAGACATGCAGCTGCTGTCTGTGGTGGAAGCTGAAGGATCCAGAAGATCATCTCCACCTTCAATCCAAATGATGTCCTTCCTTCCAGATGCTACTTTGTAAATTCCATTCAGTTTTCCAGTCCATACAAATTATTTTACAGCATTTAGGTTTTTATGTGATGTTTAAAAATAATTCAACTTAAGCAATTAAAAAAATGCTACAAAGAGGAACTAAATGGGTTGTTTATTTAATGGTTTTTCTTTCGTGTATTTGTATTACTCATAAAATGAGTACGGTAGTTACTGCAGAACCTGACAAATTGTGTCAATTTGTTTTTGATTACTCGATTAATCGCCAGATTACTCAATTACTACAATATTTGTTTCCGACAGCCCTACTGATATTGTCAACAAGCCCAACCCCAGATTTAGAGCCTTGCCACATCAATGATGAGTGAGAGAAAATATTCAACCACCTCATAAGATGACCGTGCAAGAAGCGGTATTGTATTGTTGTGATCTAATTAACTTTTTTAATTTAAAAATATAATCTTATTAACTCAATTTTTTAAAATCTCTGTGTTGTTTGCAGTCTGAGGTTGATAGCAGCGGAGTCTTCTTCATCCACCAGACCACCTCCAGCTAAGAAGTCTGTAATGACTGAACTTGTTTACTTGGCTTTTTTTTTTTAAATAAACATTTTTTAAGTCTTTATTTTGGCCTTTTTTGCACCAAAAATTAACCAAGCCCTCCTTGAAACTGAACCGAAATGTGATTTTAGGGTATCGTTACACCCCTAGTGTTTTTTCAATGTTTATTGGGGGTAATAAACAAATAAAGAGCAGGTTTAGATGAAAACTATACAGTTTCCATGTCAGTCGGGTTGCCAGATAATAAATTATGAACTACAGTACCATCACTTTAAAATGAAAATATTTTTACCTAAACTGTCACATGTGCTGAGAAAGCATGTTGTAAGATGAGGTGTGTGCTGTGTTTAGTGAACATGTGTACAGAAAAGGATGGAGTAAATAAGACATTTAAAATTTATCTGGCAACCCTGATGCAGGAACTCAGATGCATTCATTGTGCATGCAGTGTCTGCATGATCAGTTAAGTCCCAATTAATACTAATGCCTCTTTGGACCCTGGTTTTTTTTTAAGTTTTGCTCCTACATGTTGAAAAAGGGTGAGTAGCACAAAGAAACTGCTCGTTGTCATTTATTATAACTGTTAGTGCAGAAAAACTTTTGACTGCAGCCACCTGTAGTGCACATGTGCGACTTCACACCTGCAGAACATTTTTCACCTCCGCAACAAGGGCTGTTATCTTGTCAATGAATGGCTGAACCGCAGCAGTGGTTTCACTCAAAAAACACGTTGTGTAAACGGTGTCTAAGAGTCTGCATTTTGATTCATGCCCAGAGGGAAGAATTTCTTGTTAAAGTCAAATTTCACATTTTTACAGTTTCTCGACATTGTGATTTGAGGAAATGCGTATAAAACCCTACTAAAGATCTGACACTGAACCTGATAGATGCATTATTCTTCACTTAATCATCTATTGTACCCTAAGTTTTTAGCTAATAACTAACTGAGAATTATCTGTGTTAAAATATTATTTAAAATCTGTTCCACTGTATTGCCGTAGCTATTATTTTATAGATTTAACTAAAGATATTAGAACAGTATGTGTATTTGTGACAAGATCCTGGAACCAAAGTGCCAAATCTGTTCTTTGCAACGGTCTTATTCATCCCAAAGATCCAGTCCCCCAGCAGTGCCAGGAGGGCTGTGATCATTATACATCGGAGAAACGAAGCCACTGGCCAAAAAGATGGCTGAGCACAAAGAGCAATATCGTCAGGCCAGGACTGTGGTTTACACTCATCTCCAGACCATCGGTCACTCTTTCAGGGATGAAGATGTGCACATCCTTGATAAAGAGTAATGCTGATTTGAGAGAGGAGTAAAGGAAGCCATCTTTGTGAAGAGAACCTGTCCATCATTAAGCAGGGCCGAGGGTCTCCGTGTTCAACTATCACCCTCTTATAATGCTGTTATTGCAAGTATCACTCAGCCCTCTGTGAATAACAAGCGACCATCAAGGTACTCAAGAACAATTTTAGGGCTCTAACAATCAATTTTTAGGCTGATGGTCCTTCTTTTACATGTGAATAGCTAGTTCTGGCTGTCAGCAACAAACTGATTGATCCACTGTGAGAAGGTGCTATTTATAAGACTGAATTTGTTGCAGCACCTCAGACTGAAAAAGTATTTTGGAGTTTAAAAAAGAAATGTTTCAACAAAGAAGAATCTGTCCAGAGGACTTGGCTTAACCTTGTTAGAACTGAGACTTAGTATTTGCAGTTTGGCCACTTCATACCCAGACTGTGGCAGGTGAGAAATGAAGCTCTCAACAAGCTTGACAGTCGATGATTTCAGGATAGATTTTATATATATATATATATATATATATATATATATATATATATATATATAAATAAATAAATTATGGGCAGCACGGTGGCGCAACTGGTAGAACTGCTGCCTCTCAGCGAGCAGGTCCCTGGTTCGAACCCCGGTCCAGGGGCCTTTCTGGGTGGAGTTTGCATGTTCTCTCCGTGCATGCGTGGGTTTTCTCCGGGTACTCCGGTTTCCTCCCACAGACCAAAAACATGCATGTTAGGCTGATTGGTAACTCTAAATTGTCCCTAGGTGTGAGTGAGAGAGTGAATGGTTGTTTGTCTCGTTTGTCTCTATGTGGCCCTGTGATGGACTTGCGACCCGTCCAGGGTGTACCCCGCCCCTCGCACAGTGATTGCTGGACATGGGCACCAGCGACCCCCGTGACCCAAAATGGAATAAGCGGGTAAAGATAATGGATGGATGGATGGATATATAAATGATTAAATCTAGATGAGCTATTTTAAAGCGACCAGTAAAATCCCCACCACATTTGCTTTGGGAAAAGTACACTATAACAGGATGGCAGTAGATGTTAAACTTCAAATCTCCAGATCTGGTCTATTTTCATGTCTGAGAATGAAATTTGCTTGTAAATGCTCTTTTTGTGTTTTCAAATTCTGTCATCCAAGCACGTTGTCATATTACCAACTATTTGGCAAACAATTTTGCTTTTAGTTAATGCAAATTGACCAAATCAATAGACAATATTAACAATGAGAAACTGAGAAAAGTAAAAACAGCCTTGCATATCGAGGACATAAACTACCAGTGCTGAGTTTAATATTCTGTCTCCCCTATTTTTCATTCAAAACAATGCAGAATCATTTTTAGCACGTTTATAATTTGCCTTGTGATGACCTGCATCATGAAAACGGTAATAATCTTCTGTATGATTTTTCAGTCATCTAAAAATCAACACACCGACCTTACTGATAGAAATTGTTAAACTTGATGTCTGACGTGTTATGAAACCCAAATTTACATAATCGTGACTATGACCATTTCATACATAATCAAACTGAAAAACACTGCGTGCGACAATCCAATCAATGTTTAGATGAAAGAGCAAATAGATAACTCTCTTTTAACTCGAATGCATTTCATATAAATGCCATACATTTAAAGACTGCGTGCAGAATAGCTGATAGCTTACGTGCTAACCCGCGCTAATATTTGACTTTGAATACACACATAAACCAATGCTATTTGATGCGTTCATCTTCCTTACACGACTAAAACAGCTGCAAAAACACTATTACATGAACTGTATATCTGCTTACACTCTGTCAACTCTCTCTGTAATCTGTCGTCTGAACACGGCCTACGTCGAAGCAGCTAGCCATGCTAGCGCTAATTAGCTTCCAGCTAACTTAGCATTGTGGGGGAAAAAACACACACAGCTACTCACCCTCAGCGTTGGTTGACATAGTGTAAGATCCGCCTTGCTTAAAGTCAGACTACTAAACCGTGGACGGCATTTAATCTTCAATACGCTATCAGTATTATCACTAAAAACAAGCAAAGCTCTGAGCAGACATATTTTCTCTTCCACGGCCAGGACGCAAACATGGCAGAGGGGCGTCCGCGACGATGGTGACGCGTTGTGGGTGGAGAAACAACAGGAGGACATCTGATGCAGACAGGCTGAAAGGAAAGGTAAACACGGTGAGGAGATAATTCTGATCTGGACCTACTCTTCACTCTTCTGTTGGCTTTTTTTTTCTTTCTTTTTTTTCTTGAGGGGGAGCAAACAATGAGGTGGCAGTAAATCCATAAATGTATTCAAATGTTGTATAATAACATTAACAGATATGCTGGATATAATTAGCAGATGTTGAGGTTCTCCTTAGGAGTGGCAAAGATGGATAAGATGGGATCATCAGAGGTGCAGCACAGTTTGAATAAATGGGAGTTAGAGAGGCCAGACTGAGATGGTTTGGACATGTCCAGAAGAGGGACAGTGGTAGAAGGATGTTAGAAATGCAGCTGCCAGGAAAAAGACAGATATATGGATGCAGTTAGAGAGAACATGGAGGTAGTTGGAGTGAGGACAAAGGATGCAGAGGACAGAGATGGAGGATGACATGCTGTGGCGACCCCTGAAGAGGGAAAAGCCGAAAGAAGAAGAAGATAATAGTAATACCAAAAGAATACGGTGAGTGTTTTCCTCACTTTATTACAACTTACCATGCCATATCACTTTATTTAAACTTAAAGCTCTCACTAAAGCAGGTGCATCATGTCAGTTTATCAATAAATAACAGATTGATTATACCTTATAGGAATTAAATAGTTAGATTTCTTCAATTATTCAGCCTTGATTTGTCAGATTTCAACACTTCAAGATGAAATCCATTTAGTCAAAGGGCATTTTCCTTGGGTGTCACAGTGGCTCAGACTCAGTTAACTCTCAGCAAGAAGGTTGCCAGATCAAATCCCAGCCTGGGACCTTTCTGGATGGCGTTTGCGTGTTCTCGCCGTGCATGCGTGGGATTTCTGCGGGTACTCCGGTTTCCTCCCACAGACCAAAAACATGCATGTTAGGCTGATTGGTAACTCTAAATTGTCCCTAGGTGTGAGTCAGAGTGTGAATGATTGTTTTATTTGTCTCTATGTGTCCCTGTGATGGAATAGAGACCTGTCCAGAATGTACCCTGCCTCTTGCCCAGTGACTACTGGATATGGGCACCAGTGACTCCTGTGACCCAGGAAGGAAGAAATAGGTCAAGATAGTGGATGAATGGATGGATAAAGGGCATTTTCTATCATAACACATTATTATTAAATAAGCCAAATTTGCCTTTTCAAAGTTCCATGCATACATCCATTCTCTTTTACTTACTTCTTCCTTTTTGGGTCATGGGGGTCACTGGTGCCCATATCCAGCCATCACTGAGAGGCGGGGTACACCCTGGACAGGTCACTAGTCCAGCACAGGGCCACATAGAGACAAACAAGACAAACCAACCATTTACTCTCTCACACACAACTAGGGACAATTTAGAGTTACCAATCAGCTTAACATGCATGTTTTTGGTCTGTGGCAGTAAACCGGAGTACCCAGAGAAAACCCACGCATGCACGGAGAGAACATGCAAACTCCACAGCGAAAGGTCTCAGGCTGGGATTTGATCCGGCGAGCTTCTCACTGAGCGGCAACAGCTCTACCAACTGAGCCACCGTTCAGCCCCGTTTTCAAAAATTTTATTGCAAAAATAAACTAAACAAAAAATAAAAATTAACAAGCAAATAACAATTAAAAAAACACTTTAGATTTGGGAACAACAATTTGAATTTTAGCACCAAGTAATTTAGAATTTTGTCACCTGATTATAACCATTATACTTATTTGACTGTGATTTTCCTGTGATTTCTCCTGTCAGTAATACACAGAATCCAATCAATTTGGAGGTTTTTTTTTTAATACAGCACGGATTCCTAACAAAAGTCATCGTAGAAAATTAAGTCTAAACAATAGATTAAACTCGGATCCAGATTCAAGTTCAAATGTTGTCCGTCCATTCATATTTTTTATACAATACATTATCTCAGTTTATTGTGAAGTGGTAATTAGTAAAAGTAATCTAAGGAAGCCAACAGATTGTGTTGAATCTTATTTTTGTCGTCTCATCCAGAACAAGCACTGAGGCAACAGGGAAAAGAATTGAATCTGGAATTACTCAACTTTCTTTTGTCAGCTTTGCTCAGGTCCAGTCATTAAGATCTTTCTAAAAATACTTTGAGATGTTAGATTTACATTCATTGTCAAAGAGACGACCGCCTGAAACTAAACACATCTTTATAAGTGCCTCAGACCTCTTCATATGACCCCTACATGCCTTCCTCTCACACAAAGTTGGAAGCAATCATTAAGCTATGGACACAGAACACCCTTGGAAAAAAAGTAGTTTTTGAAAACTAGTGAAAGTATCATACATATATACTGAAGAATTATGAGTGGAAACACTTGGTGCTCTGGATCCCTGTGTGGAAACTGCAGCAAGACTTTAAACAAAACAGAACTTTGAAAAGATAAAGCATGTATATTATACAAGGAAACAACATGTTTTGTTGTCCAGTGGTCAGTTGCGAGTGTAAGTGGAAAATCAGCGTCCTTACTGTCTTAGGAACAGCTACAACTTCACTGCACCGAAACAACTTTAGTGAGGGTTTGTAAAGACATTCTGTTGTCAAATGATTCTGATCAGCTTGTGACACTTGTACTCCTTGACCTTCCTGCTGCTTTAGATACTGTTGACCACAGTATCCTTATATTGAGGCTGGAACGCTGGGTTGGGATTACAGGTGCAGCATTAAAATGGTTCTGCTCGTACCTGAGTGATAGGAGTTTCTGTGTCAAGGTGGGTAATAGTGTCTCTGCCTCAGTGCGTCTTTCTTGCGGGGTCCCGCAGGGCTCGATTCTTGGACCACTTATGTTTTCACGCCAAATGCTCCCTTTGGGGTCTATCCTGGAGAAACACGGTCTTTCTTTTCATTGTTATGCTGATGATTGCCACATTTATTTGCACTTAAAACCAAATAGTTCTTGCTTTATTCACCCTCTGTTAAAATGACTTTAAGGCATGGATGGAATAATTTTTATTTTATTTTATTGATCAGAAGACTGAAGTCATTGTGTTTAGTTCTAGCTCTACTGCTGTCTCAGATTCTGTAATCCTGGACTCCCTTCGGCCTTATCGTAAGCAGTTTGTTACTAATCTTGGGATGGTTTTAGACTCTGACTTTAAATTTAATAAACAAATCAACTGTTCTGCAGGAAAGCTTCTTCCACTTAAGGCAGATATAGCTTAAGTCAGTGTTGTCCAGATCTGACCTTGAAAAACTAGTCCATGCTTTATCACTACCTGACTGGACTACTGTAATGCACTATAAGCTGGGGTCAGTCAGGTCACCATTTCCCATTTCCAGCTCATCCAGAATGTTGCTGCTCGACTCTTAACTGGAACTTGTAAGTTTGAGCACATTACACCAGTTTTATCCTCCTTTCACTGGCTCCCTGTACATATCAGAATCAATTTTAAAATGCTCCTGCAAACCTTGAACTGCTTAAATGCCTAAATGGCCTTGCACCCTCATATCTCTCTGATCTACTGGAACCATATAGTATGCTCCCTCTCGGGCCCTGAGATCAGCTGATCAGCTGGCTGTTCCAAAAACATGATTGAATCTCAGAGGTGATCGGGATTTTTCAGTCATGGGCTTGACCTGACTCAGAAATGAGGCTGGTTCACGTTCTGGTTGTTCGTGATGCAATGAAACTTATAATGTTGTCCACGTGGCATGGAGGGTAAACAATTTATGGGTTGAGTGAGAAGCTTTCATAATACTGAGGGCTTTTTTCTTACATTTCTTTTTTCACACTGCAGATTCCATGCACTGAAGAGATGCAGATCAGGGTGCTCCTGATAGTGCCCCAATGGGGAATTTATGCACACTTAAGTCTCCTGAGGAATTACTCCTTTTGTTGAGCTTTCTCTACCATGTATGTGATGTTGAGAGTCCTGGAGAGCACCTCAGTGATGTGGAAACCCAAAACCTTTGGATGGAAGATTGGTCTTTCTTTTAAAATCCACAATCAGCTCTTTAGTGTAGCTAACTGTTCCACATGAGCTTTGTAAAATGATTCATTATATTGGTTGATGAGTCCTAACACTTTAGTGTCATCAACAAATTTAACCAGCTGGTTTGTACTGCATTTAGGAGCACAGTTATGTGTTTAACCTTTGTGCAAGAAATGCTCCCAGAATCGTCACCTCCACATTTATTATTCTTTTTTTTTTTTAATTATTTTTCTGCTTTGGGATTTAACCAGAGTTCAAAATGGCATATCTTCAGAATATGTTTGCCCTTTTCAAAGCTTTGATTTTTGGCTGAAATTTAAAATGTCCTCTGATCTTTATTCAACTCACTCCTTTGTTTAGTTTCCATTCCTGTGACGTTAACGTTTGTTCCTCACGTTCCCCTCTTTTGTGCAGAATGTGTAGAAGTCAGAGTTGATTTCTGAATCTACTGTTAAACTACAGCCAATTCCTTAACCCCCAAATTCCTCCGGGGCTGACAAATGTCCACAAAGACCCCAAAAGACTCCAAAGAGAGGTGAGCAGTGAACTTGAACTGAAGCCTCTTTGTACTGGCTCATTATGGGGTCCAGCAGTGAGGAAGAGGCTATTTTGTAGCACCACAAGGTTAATATCTGAAAAGCAAGCTGATGAAGAGGATCAGCCATTGGATTTTTATTGAAAAAAACTTTAATTTAAAGGCCTTGCAGAAAAAAATCTGACAATTTAACCCCAAAAATAAGATTTTGCTATTTTTGTTATATTGTAGGTGTTGCATTAACATTACCAATTCAATGTTTTCTCAAGTTTCGACAAAAATGAAAAGCACGTGTGTTTTTGTTTTTAATTTTAACTTTCCTCTTTATCTTTATAAATGATCCAGGTGCGATTTATTTATTGCACGTAATATGACACATCTGTTTCCAACGCTTGCGTAAAATATTTCTGTGCTCTCTGGATTTACTTTCCCAGGAATTTTGATTTAACTTCTAAATAGATTTGAAAAGGCGAGCTGTCACACTCTATTATGGTGACCTCAATGATTCTGTGCTCTATCCAA